TCCATGGCAAAGCTATTTCGTTGGCGATGGCTTATGTAAGGCTAACCATCCCAATGTCGCAAACGACCTCAATTGATGAACATTAGCATAGAAAAGTATCGAAGTGTTAAGTGTCCTGTGGTTTTCAACAATGTACCAGTCAATATTTATTTTTTCTATAGATAAAATCTTACATCAGAAATACGTAAGATTAAATGACTCTGTCAAAACAATCCCTATCAATGGAAGAAACAAATAGAAATGGAGAACCTGATAAGTGGCTAATAGAATTGTCCATATACCGAAGACACGCTCGCAATGAAGCGAGCGGTCGCGCAGCGGCTTCAGCTAATGAGCTGTGCCCACATTAATCAATAGATCATATCGTATGATCCAATAATTTACAAAAATAGAGAATAAAGTATGGAAAAAATTACTTACTAGTAACGATGCAAATCGATTATACTATAGTACTTACAGTCCCAGAATAATAGAATTGTTAAGAGAATTCGATTGAAGTTACTTCTAGATGCCGATGGTGAATGGTTGGTAGAAAGAAGTGACAAAAAGAAAGTATAAATCGTAATCAAGCTTCACTTTTTCCTTTCAATCAATTTTCTTCTTGAGACTGGCCAGCCGTGCCAAATTCCTTTCGCGCTCTGCTTTCATCTCCGCAAGTTGATCAAGCGGCATACTGCCGTTGAGGAACTTCTCTAACTTCTCTAGCACAGGTGCTTCTTCAAATGTGGGCATTGGACCTTGATCGGCCAAAACTCTTCGAATACCATCACCGTAGCGAGTGAAGTAGTCCCGAACTCCTGAATAACATAATGTAAGTAGGATCGCATTAGTGTGCCTATGTTAGGCGAGAAATTAGCCACATGCTGGTGTTAGCTGCGAGGATCATTCCTGCCAGGCATAGACGAAATTTGAAGGCACAGCTTACAATAACTCTGAGGTATCCAGTTTAAAACGAATTATGAAAGTGATAGTCCAAGAACAGGCAAAAGTGATGAAGAAAACGCGAAAATTGATGTATACAGAGAAATATAAAGTTTCAAAAAAGTAGCAAAATTAGGTGTTCGACGAGAATGTGGCTATAGAAGTTAATTGAGGGGTGTTTTGGACGAGCTGTCCAAATGTGTGCGACATTACGTACCACTGGCTACAGTAAGCTAGCTGCACGGGTGCAACGTGTGAATTCCGGTGCGATGGTGCAAACTCTACAGCCCTCGAAACCCCATGGGAATCGGTTCGCATTTCTGCGAGTACGTCGGCTGAGCCTGTTTTGGGGAATCTATCACTTCCTTCCTAGACCATTTTTCGACCTGGCAGCGTTCGTTGTGTTATCCTTGGGGAACACAGGTTCACCCTAAGCAATAATCTCAGAAACCCTTCTCATCGTGAACCGCGCCTTCAACGCTAGAGCACTACTAAAAAAGGTAATTCAAAGGTCATGAACAAAGAATAGAGCAAACCTACCGTTTGCATTGAGATGCACTGTTTGTAATGGTCCATGGATTGCATAGCGTGGGCCTAATCCTGCACTCATTACCTTAAATGCAGATATAATTGGGTTTTTTCTTGTTTTCCAAATAGAATTCTTCAGAGCAGTTAAGAATCACCTTGTCAACGTCTTCAGGCGAAAGTACATCATCGGCAACAAGCCTCCATGCTTCAGCCAGTAAAGCGTACTGTAGGCGATTCACAGCAAAACCAAGCACTTCATGATGGAGATGAACAGGCTCCTATAACATGAGATGCTTTAAAAATTAATTTTTCCATGATGGGATGAAATAGGGCGTTGAGGCGATGTAATCAAAACATATTCAAAACACTCGACTCACTTGTCCAATGCTCTTCATGATTTCGCATGCCTTCTGAACGACTCGATTGTGGGTCCACGGAGCGGGTACCATTTCCACAAGCGTCAGATAGAGTGGAGGATTGACAGGATGCGCCACAATGCATTGAGATCTTCATAAGAAGAAGTTTTTCAAAGACTCATAAAGAAACTAGGAGAGGAGAATGATGAGTATAAGTCGATAAGGGCGGGAATGAAAAAAATAGAAGTGGTGAAAGGAGAAAGTGGAATAGTGGCATCCAACTGAGGGGCAAATTCTCTAAAATTGAGCTGGCTCCGGAGGAAAACTCGAGACCACAACCCTAATCCCAGACCTATCCGTGCATGAAACTGCCTGTGCAAACATTCCCAGATCCGTATGCGATAAAAAGGCTTCAAGATGTCGTTGCACACAATGAGTGGTAGGCCAGCAGCCCGGTACATAGCCAAGATATGGCGCGGCATGGCAAGGGAACTACCGAGAAACTGGGGTTTTATCAGACCGGGTTCTTTGTCATATACTCTAACACAAACACAGAAAAGTACTGTATATGGCAACTGTCTGGTTTCACGGTGGTGAAGTGAGGCAGTATAATACAGGAGCCTTTCTCGATCTCCTCAATAGGGGCATCCTCTCCTTTCTCGTCTGGTCACGCAGGTTCCTGGTGATCTCGAGTAACGCTGGTCCGTAGTGACTTCTTCCGCTTCCATATTTGCTAAGGTACTTTATATAGTAGGGAGAGCGAGGATGTGGGATCACCCGCTCGACTACTCTTATCTCCCTCTACCTCTAGTGTTGTCAAGTGGAAGGACATGGATTACCGATGAACTGTGGAGTTCGCTGTAAGACAGAAGCCTGAAATGGAAATAGAAATTTTATTGGAAGCATTTTCACTCCATCCACCATCTTACCCTGGCTTATGGAGAATCAGGAAGAGCACCACAGCCCTTCACAGGGAGCCACAAAAGTGGGAGAACACCTATCACGCATATTCTCTCATCGTTTACGAATTGAAAGGATTAGACACATACCGATGCTTGAGATCTTGGGTAAACTTTGAGGCTGGTATAGTCGAAGTACTGCTCGCGAGTATAACGTCAGAAGATGCGTATTTATCCATTTCAGTGAACACCTTCTTTTTGAACTCAACCGTTTCACATGTAGATTCCTGGAATTAATCTGAGCTTAATTCAGGCCTCTGTTATCTTCAGAAGGCATATTGCTTGTGGTGATGTAGGTAACCAGCTTGAAGTCAGGTAACACCACTGGGCCATGCCCGACGGAGCACCTCTGTCAACAAAAGTCAGAAAGAAGTCACCGGACACCTTGGCATGGCCTAGAGGTTGACCGCCTCGAACCTCAGAACTCTCCGCTCCACACCACAGTGAGCAAGTGAATGTGTGGCAAGTCTGGCAAGCCACCAAATCTTCAGTTGGGATTTACCTGAGCATAGAATGCACCGTCAAGAGCCTCACTAAGCTTCAGTGTTGTGGATATTCTCCCTGCAGCTTCTTCGACAGTTGTGGTACCTCTCGAGAGACCTTCGCTCTGTAATGATGATCTCTTCAATCGTTCGACTTCGACACTTCGACTTCAAATGTTCTCGTTGCCATGTATTGGAAGTTACTACGTCAGCATTCCGTAGTTATGCGTGATAGGTTCTATTCAGGTACATATTCTGGGTGGGGGAGCGAATTTTGATCCCAATTGTGGCATAGGGCTAGTTCTAAACGTGAATTAGCACTTTATGTGTTCCCTGTGATACAGCAGGGCTTGTACTCATGCCCGTTGAAAGTCCGCCCACTTTTTTACCTGTAGAGGAACTTGAGGTCGAGTACGTAACCAATATCGTTCTTGGAATCGGCTCCTTTTTCATAAGTTGATCACCCCTGCTGACTATAGGAAGCTACTTCTGTTCAAAAAAACTACGGTGTAGGGCGCTGGGGAACAGACCAGGTTTTGGGCAAATAACGAACGTCCTCCTTCTGAAGACCCTGTCCGACCACCCATTTCCCTCGTCAGGTCGCCAGGTTTCGGGTCCCGTCTTTTCTTAACAGCCTATTCTACCTATACTCTGTTCGCCGTCCGGCAAATACCATATGCTGCAAGAACAAATGTGCTTCTCATTTCTGATGTGTCTCATTCCGCTATCTATCTTTGATGGGAATCCCAATTTTCACAGTCTTACAAAAATTTCGCAAACTTCTTCAAAACGGGTGTTACTCACCTTTAATTTGTGCAGATTATGTAGTATGGCTTTCTTGGCTGAATCCAGTTGAGATTCGGAAATGTCATAAAGGCAGACTGAATAGCCTGCACTGACAAACAGTGTA